ACATGAAAGATAAAAAAAATGTGTTCAAACAAAACAGTCCTCTCAGTGCAAATGGTAGATACAATGTCCTTTTCTTCGATTATTCTTGCCCCTGAATCCATCAGGTTTTGGATCTTGTGCCACAGTGCCTTGCCGTTCTCAAAGGGATGTCTGGAGCTTCCTATGTGATAATTGTGCACGATATCAACATCGTAACCTTCGGGATATGGGGGCTCTTTTCTCAGATCATCCAAGCAGGCTTGGCCATACTATCAACTGATTAGGCTCCCACTGTACTGATTTCAGTTTTTTAATTGTTAAAAATATTTCTTCCATGTGGTGTCACGTAATTAAGAATACTGCATTGAATCCTCCATGAAAAAATTTCATGTTTATGAAAACGCTTAAAATGAAATGTAGATGCAAAAATGCATGAAATGCTCAATGAATTGATCCGAAAACATGTATGTTATTATAAATAATATTTATTGGGACAAAAGTGTTTTATCTTTTAAGAGACAAAAATATTCTGACATCTTCTGACATGTTAACTAGTCTTCTGCCTTCTTATGTCACCGGTTGAATAATCTATCGAACCGCTCCGACTTTTCTGGATGAACTGTGCAAATGTTGAGTCGCTTTTTGTAATAGTCCAAAAAGTCTCGAATGACTGTATATATGGCATCCATCTTTTGTTGAACCTGTTTCCAACGAATACGTCATTGAAGCCCTTAATTGATAGGAACTATGTGAATTTCATTTGTCTATTTTTTGAATTCGTCAGTAATGGTCTCCAATTTCAGCTATCGTTTTGCCATTGTTGTCTTTGAAGAGACTCCCAGGATCAGTAACCTTCATCTTGCCCCTGCAACCTCTGCCGGTCAATTCTTCAAAGATAGACTCTCATTGTGCTTGATGTAGACCCGATTCATTTTGAGTCCTTTATAATGCAGCAGAGTGATATACTCCTCAATTGTGGGCACCACGTCTTCTGGATTGAATGTGACACATAATCTCCTTGTAGACTGTCCTCTTCATTTTCATCTCTTGTATTACAACCCCTTTGTCCATTAATACAAATTATTTATGTTTAACAAACACGTTTTTGTGGATCAACACCTTTTTTAAATGATGCAAATGATGAAAATAAAATAAAAGAGAACAAAAATAAAAAGAGTTAGTAAGGTAAAAATAATAATAAAAACAATTATGAAAATAAAAGTCTTACCCCACATGTTTATTATTCCTGACATGATCTCTATCCCGCGTGCTAATTTCAAACAAATCCTAACCGCATATTTGTCTAGTTTGCATGCTTTGAACAGAAAGTAAAGCAAGAAAGAAAGTAGCTTATGGTTTGGAATGAGGTTTCGGGGTAGGCTCTAATTCTCCATAGTCTCCCGGTTTAGGTTATAAAAAACGGTACCCGAGTTCTCCTTGTCGGTGCCCTCTTGGGCTTGCTAGACCCTTAGTCCTAAACCCATCATAGGCTTGTGTGTACTAAGTTAAACTCGAGAGGACACATTCTCTTATGTTTGTGCGGTGAATAAATTCACATGAAGACATAAGGTATATGAATCCCGAAGGCTACTTGCTAGGCCTATGCGGTGAATAAATTCACACGAAGGCGTCACTTTCACCCCACTTAAATAGGATTCGGAGCTCGGGTATAGAGCCTGAAATGAAAATTTTGAAAATATGAAATCATTGAGAAAACGTCAGTACAACTATTTATTTGAAAAAAATAATCAAAGGTAAATAATTGGAATCGAATAAATAAATTTAAGTTTACCATTTTCGCTTAAAACTACAACCGAAAATTAATTTAGGCCTGACTCACTTACCTGTCCCCAGCGGAGTCGCCAAGCTGTCGCAACCGCCTTTCGGGTGGGCCCAGAATTTGGCTTCGACTTGGAATAAAATATTGGAGTCGCCACCGATCATTTATTTTTCGTAAAAAATTTGGTTGATCGAATACCATCTTACATGATCTGCGTTTTACCAGAAATATGTCAGATTCGGGAGTCGGTTACAGTCAAGGAATGATTAGAACCCTTGAACTGCCCTTTCGGTACCATTTAATTTATCGGGTGTCTTAATTGCGAAAATTACAATTTAAATTAAAATTTAGAGATTTGATTCAAATTACTTACCTTTGATTGATTAAAATTATCCTAAAAAATCATAAATAAAGTAAGAAAATAAAACAAACAAACACAAAGAGTTAGTATTAAGATCGAAATAAAAAAAATAAAAGGAATGAAAAAATATCAAATTAAAAATTAAATAGGAAACAATTAAAATTTATGGGTCGAATTAATCTTAAGAACGAGCTGCAAGAAAAACAAAAACTTAAGGGATTAAATAGCAAAAATAAAAAAAAATAAAGTACTAAAATAACACAAACGAAAAATTAAAGGATTAAAGTAGAATAATCTAATAAATATATATGAACAAATATGAGCCTCAACAATTAATTTAAAATGAATACAAGGACCCAAAACCTAATTATGTTAACTAAAAATGTAAGAAAACATAAATAAAAATAAACAAGGATCTAAATTCAAAAAATTAAAATAACAGTGGCTAAATTAAAAGTTAATAGTGACTAAAATAAAGGAAATGAAAGTTACATGCATAAATCATCACAAAATATAATATATTGGTGATCGATTTGAAAATAACGAAAATAAAGCGCCAAAAATAAAATAAAATAAAAAAATAGAGCTTTGGTGACTAGAATGTAAAAATAAGGTAATATTAGAGGGACCTAAACGTGATTAGACTCAAAGATTTGGTGACTGTTTTTTAAAAAATATAATAATGGAGTGGCTTAAACATAAATAGTCCAAAAGTTTAAGATACCAACATAAAAGATGGCAAGAAATTAAAGGGCCCTATGTGAGGTTAACCCAAAATTAAAATGAAAGCATTTTTCCTTTTCCCAATTCCAGAACACGTGAACCACTTTCCCTTCCCCTTTATATCTTCATTATATGCGATGAACCCTAACATTTTCTTAGCATTTCTTCCTCCTCTCACAACACTCATCGCCGCTCACAGTGGAGCCATAACCCACGCCACCTCGGTAAGTTTTTAACCCCTTTTCATATATATATATATATATATATATATTGAAAGCATTGAATATAAACGAAAAAAAACTATAAACTAAAATCTACTATCTTAATTACATTTCAATAACTAAACTAATAAACCAAAAATGAAATAAAATTAGAAAATACCACTTCGCTTTGAAACAAATTCGATTCTATTTTTGATTCTTGAAGAATTCCTTTTCTCTGTATTTTTATTTTTATTGCTCGTTCCTTTGCTGAAAAATCGAGAAGAACCCCTTACAATTGTTTCCCTTCCTTTCTGTTTTCCCCCTCTCATGTTCATACATGCATTAGGCTTTTATAGCCAATTTCACAATGATTTTATACTTTAAAATAATGTAATTTGTGATGATGCTTTGGATAAAAGTTCACATGCACTCCATCCTTTTTGGGTTGACATTGGCAGGAAAACAAGTGATAGTGTTCTTGTGGTAATCAGGCTGGGCGAGATATGGGTTGTTGGGGATGATGATAAAATATGGGGTTTATAGATTCATATCGCACATCTGGTTTTGGTGGGTGAGCCCAGTAATGATTTTCTGCATATACAATGACTTGAACTCGAGAACTTATTTAAACGATATCAAGTTACTTACCACTTGATCCAACCTCGTTGATGATATGCGAGATACTTTGAGGGAACCCATAATATAATATCCATGTGCTGCGTAATGTTTCATGGACTACTCCATCTTAGGATTGGTTGAAGCTCAATATAGACGGATCGATTTGGCGACATGCGAGAATGTTTTTTGCTATCGCAAAAAATGTTCTTCGCTATCACGAGGGAGCCTGGCTTTTAGTTTTACTAAATCCAATGGCTAATGTTCGATTTGAATGCGGAGTTGTGGGTCTTCTTTAAAGGCTTAACTTTGACCTGGGACCTTGGTTTACGTCTCGAAACATATTGCAAAGAGACTCCCTTCACTTTTAACAATGGGTCAAGGGAAATAAAGTCATTTTTTTTCTAAAAGTTATAAATAAATTTATTAAAATATTATTATAAACACCGTCGTTAAATATCTGACGTTAATAATTTTATTTCTTAAAACTTAAACAATCTTTAATTGCGTCTTAATATAAAATGATTTAATAAATTTAATCTTTCATATTTAAAATTTAATTATTTAATTTTTATTTTCTTAAATTTCTTGTTCCCAACTTAGAAATATTATATTATTATCATGGGCCCCTGCTAATTATTACTTTTAAATATTAATTAATATTTTAACCCTTCATTTAAAAATTATATTTATAGAAAATAAAAAATATTTTAACCCCGTTGTAATAAATTTCTAATTTCAGCCCTGATTATTATCATGTTATTTTTATTGTACAAGAGCAATACTTTATGATAATATACAATTGTCTAATTATTGCTTTGATACGATGAGTTTATTTGATTTGATAATATTGTAAAAATAAATAAATTAATAAAATTTCTAAATATGAAGAGTTGAATTTTTTTAATGTTTTAAATTATGATAAAATTGATATAATATATGAATTTTGACGATAAAATATATTATATTAGATCGCATTAAATATACGTTTTAATTTTTAATGATGAATAATTTATTTTATAATAATATTTTAACTGACTAGTTTATAACTTTTAGAGAAAAAAATTTGCCACATTTAGGACTATATACTTCTCATAATGAGAAGGGGTCACTCAAGCGTATAGATACTATGATTTACATAAAGATCCCTACGTAATCAAGCCTTATTTGTATATATCTCTCGTTATTTGAGTCCCTATTTATTTAGTTGTCCATCTTTTTAATATATTATATATATATTTAATATAATCTTAATATATATAAGACATCCTCCGTTGCTTATCGAAGCAATTGGATGTCCAACTCGGGCCTATATGTCATGACCAATCAATACAACTGCTCTAACACTCCTCCTTTGTCATTTCAACTAATGGGGTTATAATCATATTACAAAGTGCTGGACCAATTTGAAACTAAAGCTAAAGTTAGAGGAGGTATATTTTATTAGCTAAAACAATATTACCATAAAACAATAACATTGATCTCAAGTCCTCTTCTCTGAAACAGTCAAGCGCCTACTGCATTATCCATTCAAGACACGTACTCATGTGAATCATCAGTATTGCGTCTCTGGGATGCACCTTGATCTGTCCCTATTGTTCTCTTACTCATGTTAGCTCGTTGCACTAGTCGAACCAATGCTTGAACCACTTCTGACATAGGAGGTCGAAACTCGGGCTCCGGCTGTTGATAAAAAAGATCAGTTAAATGCTAAAGCAATGAAGCATTTTACGAGTTATTTTCTCCGAATTCATTGCTTATCCGAATCATTGGAGATCTAATGTAGATAAAACGAGAAAAAGGACTCAAGTTTTGGTATTTTTGGACCAAGACATTTACCTGTACACACAGAGCAATCACATCTGCAAACCGAGAGAGCGATTTAACCGGGTAAAGCCCTTCAAGCGCAGGGTCGACCATCTTAGTTAGAGCATCAATATCATGTAGCTGAGGCGTTGCCCATCGAACCAAAGATTGCTCTAATCTTGGCCTTGTGCTGTTAAAACACTTGCATACTAGTTAGAAATGTGGGATGCTAATACATGGAACCAAATGCTTCGTAGGTGATTCCTTACCTATTGAATGGCTTACGTCCGGTGAGAAGTTCCAACATAACCACTCCAAAACTGTAAACATCACTCTTAAGAGAGTACTGACCAGACATTGTAACTTCGGGTGCACCGTATCCGGACATAGTAACATCATCACGACTTAATACCTGCATACCGAATGAAGACACTTTTATATTGATTGACCAATGACAAATCCTATCGATTGACCAATGTCAAAGCCTGCCTCATCCTTTGAGGAATGCCAATTAAGATATGCAATGCAAGAAACCAGAATAAGGAATTCCATCGATCAAATAAATGTTGTACAAGCAGAGATAGTGGGAAAAGTTACGTGATCTGCATTTGGAATAAAGGTTGCCAAGCCAGAGTCTGAAAGGTGAGGGTTGAGCTCAGCATCAAGTACGATGTTTGCCGACTTGATATTCTTATGAACAACAGACGGAGAGCAACCTTCGTGCAAGTACCTGAAAAAGAAAACCTTTTTATCGAGTTTGCAAACTTGTACAAGATACAGACTCAGATGATGCAAATGTCAAAACATAGCATAGTGGAAAAGAAGAGTAGAGAGGAAAATAAAAGATGCTGGAGACGGGACTCAGCTTTAGCTCCTTCCGTTTGTGGTGATGATATAAAAATGAGATGAAATAATAGCTATTGTTGTCCATTATCGAACTATCCACTTACTCTAAAGCGCGTGCAGTCCCTAGAGCAATTTTGACACGGGAATTCCAGATCAAAGGCTTGCTGTACTCATCTGATAGATGCAGATAGTCATGGAGTGAGCCATTTTTGTGGAACTCGTAGACAAGTAGGTGCTGTCCATGCTCTGAACAATAGCCAACCAGCTCTGTGACATTTGTGTGATGCAACTCGGATATGTTCGAAACCATCTCTAAAAAATTGTCAGACATTTCACTGGGAAGAGCTGACGAATCTATTTTCTTCACAGCAAGAACCTATGGCAGTATGAACGCAAGGCACAGCCAGGTGAGTACAGAGTAGAAAATTCTTAAGGCACATAAATGACAATATTAGCAAACAATTGTGGAGATCAACGACAATGGCTACAGATTTTGCAGAAGGGAGACTCACACCTTGCCATCATTAAATTGAGCTTGATAAACACACCCAAACGATCCTTCACCAAGAAGATATTCCACGCTGAAACTGCCTGTAGCCATCTGGAGGTCTGCTATTGAATATGATGTAACATTTTCAGGAGCTGGGAAAGCTTTCTTAACAACAATGGGATTTTTGGAAAAGTTTTCTTCATCAAATGATTTGTGAAGGTCAACAGGTGGGGGTCGGAGGTTCATCGAAGGAGCTGTGTCAAAGGTCTTGGCGTCAACTGAAGAGGAAGACTGTATGGATTTTATTTCTGCAATACAATTTTAACCATGAGAAAGAACAAACTAAAAAGGTTTTAGATTATTAAAAAAGTAATTAACATAGATATGAGAAAAGCAAACAAAATGCTTCAAAATTGAAAGCTTATCAATTCATGGAGTCAAGAAGGAATCTTCATTGAAGCATATTTTCTTCTAACCTACTGAATTGTTTACATTATAAGTTCTTTGCTTTTCTACTACCTTAAATTATAGTTATTATTTACACTCGCAAATTTCATGCTTCATGCGGAGTCCAAACTTACACAAGGAAATATGTTCTAAATGAAATTAGTAAATATTCTTAATATATTTAATAACTACAAACCTAAGTTTATAACTGTGACGCTGCAATGAAAGACACAAGATCTCTTCATGATAAATCCAACGCAGCAGCATTACATGCAACTGAGCAAACAGTAAAGATAGGTTTATGGTCACATTCAACTGGCCACCATGCCGAGTTGCAGATTTACTACGAGGAGTTACCTTGTACTTCATTAGAAGGAAGAGGTGCAAACGATTGATTATCATGCATTTCAATATCTGAGGATGGCCTCCAAGATGTTCTCTTCACCAGAAAGAATGCTGCAATAGCCCCGACTATAAGGATGGATATTACTATTCCTGCTATGCCTCCACTTCCAATCCCCGATTTGCTACCCCCACCACTAGAACCACTAGAAGCTCCATCAGTTGGTGAACTATTGCCACTGGATTTGTGATTTCTATTATTTCTAGTGGCAGGAGGGGTACCAGGTGGAGGTGGAGGCGCAGGCCCCAAACTCCATGAATTACCATCCTTCCTGCAATGAATTATTATTCAGATTGAAATTGCAAAGAACTTTATACAAAACTGAAGTCAGGCACTCGATAATGAGTTCAAATGTTTACTGCAAATTGATGCTTTTCAATTGATTAGGTATCCAGCCGGTAAAACGGTTGTTGGAGACATATCTGTGAGAGGGAGAAGCGATTATCACAAAGGTCAATATTACAGGGTTATTTACAATATAAGGAAACAAAAGACTGAAATATGGGTTACCCACAGAGTTTCAAGGGGAAGATTGGCAAGGACATCAATAGTGCCTGTAAACTGGTTGTTCTGCAAGTACCTGCAAATAAGAAAACAATACATTTATGGAAATTCAACATCGACCATATACATTTGTTCCACAAAAGATATTTCCGATAATACTTACATAGAGTTCATACTAGTAAGGTTCTTAAAACTCTCAGGGAGATCACCAGTCAGAGAATTGAAAGAGAGATCCCTGAAGCAAGGAATGATGATAACTGTTAACATAACCTTTCAGTTAAATCGGCTTAAAGACAGACATCTATGGAAAACAATATAATCTGAATAGTGGTAGGAAAAACATCTTACAATGTGGAGAGGGAAGAAAGTGGTCCGAACATGTCACTCAATTGGTTCTGCAACTGGTTATGTGCAAGATTTCTGCATTTCCAGAAATGGAAAAGAAAAGGAAGAGCACGAGAGTTTAAGGGACACTTCCAGAAATGTCTACAGACTTCATGTCGGAAAAACGAATATTTGGAACATTACTTACAGGTATTGAAGAGAATGCATCTGATTGATGGAATAAGGGACACTTCCAGTAAATTGATTAAATGCAAGATTTCTGCAGACAAATGAACATTATGTTAAATAAAATCCTTAAAGGAAAAAAAGAAAAGCAAACAAATGCACGTTTGATCCATACAATCGCTGCAAGTTCTGAGGAATGTTATATGGTATATCGCCAGCAAGATTGTTATTGCTCAAGTCCCTGCAGATTTGTTCAAATAAGAGTATAAAGATAACATATAAATATAAGAAAAGAAAACCAAGCCACTATTAAAGATTAAATTTCCTACAGTTCCTTCAACGATGTCAAACTTTGAAGGCTGTAACCCACTGAACCGGAAAGTCCAAGATTCGACAGTTTACTGAAGAAAGAAAAAGGCAACGTTTTATAGTTAGCATCAGCTGAGTTAGGACAAGACATCTTGAATGAAAATCATAAACAAAGAAATTACATTTCAGTGACATGTTGGTCAGAGCAAGTAACACCTTTCCAGGGCTGCCCACAAGGGTCGCCATTGTTAGCGGTCCACCCAGTTAGCTGCGGCGGTGAGTTTAAACTGCTGAACATAACCCCTAAGGCAGAAGCTGCACATCCCAAGGAGACAAGTTCTCATCACAAGTCTTAAATTATTCCACTTCTCTATTCTAAACATTCATCGAAACCAATTCATCGAAATCATTCATTGTACTAGCAGTGTGCTTCCATGCACATAACGTAATGTTTAACAGATTTGTAAAATGTTTGGTCAGAAATTTAGCCAAAACTACTGGAACACCAACAAAACATGGACATCGAAAAACAAAATATCGGTTTCAAGGGTCGATATTTCGTTTCCAAACAGAGAGAAAAAGCTTAAGCATTGCAGGCAGAGAGGAAGGACCATTTTGCAATTTCAACTGTGGGTAGAAAGATTGAGTTTTTCAGTCAGCAACAATTCAGAGAAAAGCCAAAAAGATTATAAACTTGTCCAGGAATACATATCCTAGAAATCTCTGAATTAAAGTGACAACTGAAATACTAAAACTTCACAATCTTATCCCCATAATCAACAAGAATCCATCTTTGAAAAGCATAGTGAAAACTTTATAAACAATAACCAACACTAACAAAGTTAAAGAAAAAGACAATGCAATCAAGGAAGTTCATTTCAAGCCACAAGCAGCTCAAAGCAGATAACAATAAGAAACACAACCAAAAATCAACACCAAAAATCACAAATAAGATGAAAAGGGAAGAAGCAAAGTAACACAAACCGTCTCCTTGATCTGTTGCTGCATTTGAACATGGGGGCTTAAACCCCAAAATGCAGAGTGTAAACAGCACCAAAACCAAACCTTTTCTCCAATTCTTCACCATCTCTCTCCAAACTGGTCACTTCCCAGCTCCCACAGACCAAAAATGAATTTTGGGTTTATAGCTATTCTTTAAAAAGAATATACTTTTTAAAAAATTCTACAAAATTTAAGCCTTTTAGCCACTATAACCAAGTAAAAGCTGGCAGACACGACTTACCAGAAGAATCCAAAACCAGGGAAATGTTAATAATTTTACATTACCTTCTCTGTCTGTAGCATTTATTTACATGTAGAAAATATTAAAAAGTCACGAATAAAGTTAACATTTACAGGAAACAAATATAATTAATATTTTAATTTAATAAATAATACATAAGATGATTTTTTAAAGGGTAAACTATGTAGATAGTCCCCGATGTTTTTCGGTTTAACCGAATTTGATCACTAATTTAAAAATTAAGGAGAAATATTCTCTAATGTTATCGATCTATTGGATTTTAGTCTCTAACATTATCGATTCATTCGGTTTTAGTCTCTTAGCTGTTAACTCTCGTTCGATTTTATTCTTTTAACCATGTTAGGGACTTAAACAAAAGGAAATTAAACAAAATAGGATTAACAAAAATTAATGGTTAAGGGACTAAAATCAAACGTATCGATAACGTTAGGGATTATTTTCTCATATTTTTTTAAATTAGCGATCAAATTCGATCATACCATAAACATAAAAGAGACTATTTACATAGTTCACCTTTTTAAAACTATAAATATATTTATATACTTATCTATTAAGTAAACTTTATTTACATATATAAAAGAAGAAGTCGAGAGTTGGATGCGCTTTTGGTGGGTGTATGTAGCTTTGATAATTGCTACTTTTAAGAGGCTACCACTCTTTTATCCATTACTTGCGCTTTTGACTTTGAAGATTTCATTTTATTTTGGAATTCAGTATTAATCTGTGTAAGCATATGACCATTGATTTTGAGTTGGTCTTGCCTTCTGTTTTTGACAGTATTTATCTCTTAATAATTATTTAGGTTTGTGCCTAAATTTTAGGGTATCTCAATTATTGTTTTTATTTCGTTTTCGTCATTCAATTTGTTTTAAAATTATGACTAACATTACGTTTTAGTTTTATTTTAATCACTCACATTTTAAAAATTATCAAAATTACTAATATGATATTTTTTATTTTTTAATGATGATGTGGCATTATCTTTTTAGGCACATCAGCACCATCGCTGATTTTTTAATGATGGGTAACCAAAATAAAATCAAAACTAAATATTAAGTATAATTTTAAAAATAAAATAACTAGGTGATCAAAACAGAATAAAAGTGATTGTTAAGATACTAAACCTATAATGTACCTAAATTTTAATATATTTATTGAGGTATAGATTCTTAAATGATTAGACTGGTGATGAGTTGAATGATTATGACATTTGGAATGTGTGTGGCACTAAACTCTCAGAACCAGAATTGGTTGCATGTGCACCCAACCTTCCTTTTGGTTTATTAGTTATTTAGGTGGCTTTACAAATCCATATTTGACGTAAATATACGTTTATTTAGTTTTTCAATATACTTATAAGGATAAATTTGCTTATGTAGGTTTGATTATATATAATACTTAAATGAACCTATTTTATTTATAAATACATTTTAAATATGAAGAACATATACAAATAGTGTAAGAAAGATTCGAACGATTTAGAGAAAAAAATAAAATGGCATAAGATATTATAAATTAGAATTGTAAAGCCAAAAAGCTGTTGGGTCAGGTTAGAAAGTTTGGGGGGAATTCATGGATACCACCAAAACTCATATAAGAAAACCATTCTATTAAAAAAGGTACATGAATTATAGCCCCATAATAAATTCCCCAAAAGTAAGAAAGTATAATAATAATTCATTTTTCTCTGTTTTCATTTAAAATTAGTTTAAGATTGTTATAGTCGAAATTATTTAGGTTCATATGATAATTCATAAATTATTTTGTCCTTTATTATATTTTTTATAATATTTAATATTTATAAAACTCGTTATTCTTTTCTGACGAATTTCACATATATTATTTTTTATTAACACGAGTTATTTAGATCTAGTGGATTATGTTATTTCAAACTAGAATGAAGTCAGGTACGTCAGGTAACAAACTATTGGTACAAATCTTCCATGCAAAAACAAATTCATGAAAATAGTCACGTATAATATATTAAACACAAAAAAAGTTAGATAATATGTTAGAAAAATATAGTTTATTAGAAAAATATTTGTTGAGATAAGTGTTTGTTTGCTTATTTTTGGAGATAATTATAAATATAATATAAAATAAATAAGTTAAGAAAGAAAAATATATGCGTATATAATATAATGTAATATTATTGAAAAACTCTTCTCTTGTGTTTGATTGCTTGGATAGTTGTTCTCTTCATTCTTTAAGTGTCCTTAGCTTGTATTTATAGTTTGGAATGTGTTTGAAGTCGTATATAGCCATTGGGGATGTTTTGGAGCCGTTTGGAGATGAGAATCCATTAATAAAATAGCTTGGAGCGTGGGGGAAATCGATACCCCCTCATGGGGAATCGGTACCCCCTCATGGGGAATCGATACCCCCTCATGGGGAATCGGTCCCCTAAGTGCAATCTGATTTCGATCGTTAGACAGGGGGAATCGGTACCCCTTGGGGGGAATCTGTTCCCATTGGGGGGAATCGGTACCCCTTAGACATTCTGTTTTCTCGGAGCCAAAAACCTGCAGGGGAAATCTATACCCCCTGGGGGGGAATCTGTACCCCCTGGACAATCTGATTTTTCTTGGCTTTGAAACGGTTCAAAATACTTTGTAAAATTGTTTTAAAAATAGTTTAAGTATAAAACACAATTAGTGAAACTAGGGAAAGGTTCTAGCTTATCCCGTGTAAAAGCTAGTGAAAGGTTCTAGCTTAGCCCGTGTAAAAGCTAGGGAAAGGTTCTAGTTTAGCCCGGAAAAACTAGAGAGTTTGTAAGGTTACTCTTTATCCTCAAAAGAAAGAACAAATTAGTGAATTTGTTGGAAAATTCTTGGTGAGGATCGAAGGTAGTGGACGTAGACTTTGGTTGAGAAAGTCGAACCATTATAAATCGATGTGCAATTCTCTATCTTTCAATCTCCTTACTCCCTAAACACAAAACCGTTCCGACCCCTCTTTACAAATCGTTCCAGTTGTCGATTCGAGCTTCCGAACAATTGGCATCAGAGCCTAACTCGTTAAGAAGGTTTAACCACCTTGAGACGATCCTAGAAGAAGCTCTACCAATTCCCTACACAACCGAGAAGATGGCTTCCACCTCCGGCTCGTTCCACATGGAAGACTCCCTACCAACCGACAAACCTCCATACTTCAATGGAGTCAACTATCATCATTGGAAGAAATTAATAAAGGTATTCATCCAATCCAATGATCTTGATGTATGGGAGATAATCAAGAATGGCTACTCTTCTCCAAAAAAGAAGGAGAAGAAGCGGAGTGACAAAGAACGGAAGAAAGCTCAACTTAATGCCAAGGCTATGCACATGTTGTTTTGTGCATTTGGTCCTGAATCTATGAAGGGGTTTCTTCATGTTCAAGTGCCAAGGAGCTTTGGAATAAGCTCGAGGAAATCCATGGAAACAAGAAAGAAGAACCAACAAAGGTGGTGTCTCTAATGGCTTACGAAGAGCCCGAGGTATCTTCTAACTCAAATGAATTTAATTTATAGACGTTTGATGAGTTACAAGATGCTCTTAATAGGTTATATTCGGAGTTTGAGACCATGAACTCCAAATATAAGAAAATGATTTCAAATTTTAAAATTGAAAACGATTTTCCTTTGAAAACAAAAATAGATTTTGAAAGCCAAAATTAAATTTTGAAAAAGGATTTAGAGCTTTCAAAAATAAAAATTGATAGTTTTGAAAAACAAAATTTTGATTTAAAAGTTAAGCTTGAATGCTTAATAAAAGAAAAAGAAATCATTTTAAATAATTCATTTAGTTCAATAATGACAATATGCTCACATTGTCATTATCATGGTCATTTGGAACATACTTGTCCTTTGAAGAAAGGAAAACATTTTAAAATTAGGCAAGTATGGGTTCCGAAAGGAACAAGGGGCATTAAAACTAACGTCCAAGGGTCCAAAGCAATTTGGATACCAAAATCTACTTAAATGTCTCTTGTAGGTGTGTGGGAGCAATGGTGATGAAAGTGATGATATTCAAGATACTCTAGCTATACATGAAAAAGGAATGGGTAACCTCTAAGCTTAATGCTTTTAATTTTGGTTATTTGGTTGCTCATTTGATTTTAAGCATGCATGAGTTTTGGTTTTAAATGATTATGCATCATTGTTTTAATCTCATGTATGTTGAAAAGATGATTATGATGAACATTTTAAAGTTATATGAATTTTTATGAATTTTTAGTTCATCATAATAAAATTTAGGTCAAATTTGGTTTTAATGCAATTGATATCTCTCTAACAATTGATATCAATTTTTAAAATACTTTGATTTTACAAATTTTAAAATTTTTGACCTAAATTTGAATGTTTATGCATGTGGTTTAAATGAAAATGATATATCTCTAACATTTTTGGAAAACTTTATGCATATGCACTTAATTTTAACAATTGGTATTGATATCAAATTTCAACAATTGGTATTGCATAAAGTATTTTAGTCTTGGATATATTGAATTTCATGTGCTACTAACATGTTTGTTATTCTTTGTTGAAATCCAATTTTGTTTAAGTGTCTTGTTCTTAAAGCTAAATTTTATTTGGAATGCATTTATTGAGGGGGAGCTTTGATTTTTTTTCAAATGATTTTTAAAATGTCAAATTTACTACTTACTCTCCAAAGTTATTTTGAACTTCAAAGATTAGAGTCTTTTTGATTTAACAAAAAGGGGGAGAAGTGTTAAGGTGTTAAAGGGGAGAAGTGTTAAAGTAAGGGGGAGTAATTTCAAACTTGATTTCAAAATCTTAAAATTACTCAAATGTTTTGTTATATCAAAAAGGGGGAGATTGTTGAAAAAATTTTGATGTTTCGATATAACAAATTAAGTTAAATGAATTTTAAGATTTTACAAAATATTTTCTAAGTATATTCGAATATAAAAATATTACTCCAAGTGTTTCAAAGTTCATTTTAATCCTTACTAAAGTGTAAAATTGTGTTTTATACTTAAACTAT